TAAGTTAAATAATACAGGAAAGCAAAAGTGACTTTGTTACTTGTCCCAGAAAAGACGTGTCCCTGAGAAATATGATTGCTAATTAAATACAAGATCTTATTTATCAAAATTAAGAGCTCACTGCTGAAAGTGATTTCAAGATCTTTACTTTCTCGTGTCCACCAACACAAGCTATTAAAGCTATTATGTCATAGACGCGTCGCAATCTCAGCTAACTCCCCTTTTGCAATACACACTTTGAAATCATCCAACTCAGGTCCTAAAACCCTATCAATATTCACCACTGACTTCCCTCCTCTTGAACATTATTAAGACTCTATCAGAATAGTATTATCTCTTACTGCAGCTAGTCAGAGAGACTTTGATTTCCTTGATAGATAAGTTTTTCTGTCAATCATTTTGAGGAGTGGGCATTCAATACATGTCTACTCTCTACACTTTGAAGAAAACAGGAAACTGAATTGAATTTTAATGTTAGGTGTTGTGATGGACATTAGAGATATAGAATTCAATAGGGTCTAGGATTTGGCATATGGTATTTGTTTTATAACATTTGTTAAATGAAGAAATAAAATTTCAAATGGCAATGTTGTAAAAACTTTGTTATTAAGAAAATGATGACAATAGAGTTAGCAGAATAAATAAAAAAGGTATATATTCATACAAACTTACTGTTGTACAATCCAATATTTTAACTTGGTTAATGTTTTCTAATTCACTTGTTTCTTGGGTTTGTGAGTAAGAGTAACCCACAGATGGGTGGACAGCTTCTCCTCAACATCAGGGTGAAACAAATAATTTCATAATCATTGGAGAACTTCTGAAAGAATATTTAGTCTAGAAGAGAATAATATATTAGATTTTTTCTTAAGTTTCTTTCTCTTTTATATTTCTAAATCCCTGAGGACATGATATTCTTATCCCCCGATACAATGAAGATGTACAGTAAAAATTTTTGAAAGAATGAATAAACAGCAACCCCATTCATACTTCTGGCGTATGTTGTGCTGGCACTTTATGCAAAATCCTGTGTGGTTTTAAAGATCCAAAAATGAATAGCATACAGACACTTGAGGCACCTTTGTAAAAGGAATAACGTCTGAATAAAGTCTAGAAACCACTATGATTCTAGAAGATGTGACATATCTCTGCCTTCTCATAACCCTACATGGCTAAGCACATTTTCTATAGAAATAATTCTATGACAAGCAACATGGTATAATGGAAAGATTTCTGAACTTAGAATGTGTTTCCAATGCCAACACTCACATTTGATTCTCGATGTGAATTTTGACATCTCTGTGCCCCCGATATTGGTTTCCTCATTTACAAAATGAGAGTTATTTATATTATAGTTGTGTTATGAGAATGCGAATATGGAATACTTGGGAAACAATTTAGCACTATCTGCAGTTACACCTGGCAAGTTGATTTTTATCCTTCACTTCTACCGTCTCTTCCTTTTATATCTTGTCTGTCACTCTTAGCCTCCTCTGGCATTTTATATCCAGCAGTGAATTGAAATCTTATATTAACTTGTATGCCTACTTCCCTTTGCACGTTCTCTGAGGACAGGACTACTTTATTCATCTTTACATCCCATACATTTAGTAGAGAGCCTGATGTATAGTAGATGGTTAATAACTTGAAAAAGAATAAAGAAAAGGATACGTTAATTAATGAGTGAATAAATACATAAATTAAAGAGATGTGGAATATAACAATTGTCAACAGAGTGCTCTGTTCAATCATTGAAGTAAGAGAATCACCAGCCCCTCTCTTCTGTATAACTTTTTTGAAGCTAAAGATGTAACATGTGCAGCAAAGGATAAAATCAGCACTGGAGTTTTCCCCAACTTCTTCAATAATAGGAATTACTTGAGTACTTATGAAATATACAGCTTCCATGACCTTCATCATGAAGAGTTTAATTTTTCAGCCCAGGATATCACTAATAAATTTATATTTCTAGGAAGCGCTTCTAATCAGTATACAACATGAGTAAAACACCATTGAGAGGTTCAGTAACATACTGAGGTCACAGGACTATATATGTAATAGCTGAGATTTGAAATTTGGCAAATTGATTTTTAAGTCTGTATTCTTAATTTTTCATAATTATTTCTTCACTAACAATAAAAACCTTATACTTGTACAATGCTACACAATTTAAAATGTGTTACATTTACTACTGCAGAGAACAAGTGATACTTACAGAGATCCATTAAAAGTATTTCAGAGTAAGCACCACATTTAGGTTTGAATTTTGTAGTACATGATGGGATAGTACCATGTAGTTATTGACCAGACTTTTCAAAAGCTATCATATTAGTTTCCTATTGCTGCTGTAAAAAATCACATCAGTGGATAAACACACAGAAATGTACTGTCTTGCAGATCTGGAGGTCAGAGTGCCAAAAGAGTCTTACGAGGCTATAATCAAGCAATCAAGATGTCAGCGGAACTATTTCTCATGAAGGCTTCAGAGAAGAGACCGTTCCTTGCCTCTTCCATTTTCTAGAGGCTGCTAGGATAGCTTGGCTTGTGGCTGTAGAACGTTAATCTCTTCTTGCATTGTCATATTGCCTTTTCCTCGTTTGTTTCTCCTTCCAGCCTCTTACAAGGACCCATGTGATTACATTAGGCCCACCCAAATAATCTAGAATAATCTCCTCAATTCAAGACCTTTAATTTAAATCACCTCTACAAGGCCCCTTTTGCCATGTAGAGTGGTGTATTTAGAGGGTCTAGGATGTGGATATCTTTGGTGACCATTTTCAAGCCTACCACACCAAGAGCAGCATAAGGGTGTTCCACAAAGGACAGTTTCTTAGCCTAGATGTCATTGAATCTTCTGCATTGCATATGCCAATAAAAGGATGGAGATTAGGTAAAATACTTTTAATATTTTTGTTATAATAGTTGTGGAAATGAAAACATAGGTTCTGATTGGAACAAGATACCATTCCTTTGCGCCCAGGAAAAACAGTACATGTGATTACTCTTAAGTCATCAATAGGTTTTCTTTCTTACATGGAAAGCACTGTCACGCTATCTCAAAGTAAAACCTCTCCAGGAATTGGGTGTTCAATGCTATTCTGAAAGCCTAAATCAAACTAACTTTTGCATTCCAGAAGAGTTCCCTGAGACTCTATCTGCAAATTAATAACAAATCACCCAGAATTTGAAATCATAAGAAATTACTTAGCAAGGGTTTACAGCTGCAAATCATGCCCAGTTGAAAGGTTCTAGCTTTCTGAGACAGAAGTGTTTGCATAACAGAGAAAGTTCTGTAAAGAGCTGCCCTATATTGAAGGATGAGTCCTCCTCTCATGTTAAAAATACCTTCAGCAACACATTTTAGAAAGAAACTGAACCATAGTCAGCATGAGGAGTTGCTGGAGGTCATAAAGGACAAACATCTGTAATAATTTGCTTGTCTCTATCACATAATAAAAAACAAAATGTAAACTGAAACAGTTACCGTTTACATAATCTCAGTGACATTGATCAAATTGGGAGGATGCCAAATAAAAACATGTTTTGCTATTAATTCCTTAATTGTTTTTCTCATTTTGCAAATCTGAGTTAATACATTAACAAGAAGATACAGTTTACTTTGCAGTAGAAACAAATGTGAATTTGCCAACCAGATGTGGGCTGCTAAATAGCAGTCACCTTTGAACTAATTTTCCTAGGCTGTTTATTTGTTAGTTAGTACTTTACAAAGCCAAGAAGGAAATATGGAGTTTGTCTTTCACAAAGATCCATTGAGAGTATTTCCAGGGTAAGGACCACTGTAGGGTTTGGATGTTGCAGTGTATGATGGGGGCAGCAATGAGCATCCTGTGGGTGACTTCTGAGCAGTGAAATTAAGTTGTTTGCAAAGCTGTCTTTTGGATCGAGGCAAATGAAGTGATCTGCAACTAATGGATGCTTGGCATAAGCCCTGGGACATTACCCTGAGTGTCTCGGAGGTGTTACTTCAAGCAAATCACTTAAACATTCTATACTTTAATCTCTCCATTTGTACAAGGCAGAAATTATATACCTGCTATGTCTTTATCTCCCGAGAGTACCTTAGAGACTTGTAAAATTTATTCATACTTCTAAAGCATTTCAAAAGAAAATTGAACATGTAGCAAATCAGAATCTCTTCATGTCATATTCCATATAGATTAAAAATATTCCTATCCTCAAATTGATTAATACCATCCTGAGCAATTTGTCTTAAAGGAATTATCCAAAAGATAGAATGTACTATAGTCAATGAACAAAAATATTCTTTTAAGAACTGTTTACAATAAAGCACATGAAAGCAGTCAAACTGTCTATTGATATTTGATATATAAATAATATATATGTTTAGTTGATATACAGTTTTGAACTATCAAAAGTAATGATAATGAAATTAAGGTGACATCATTGAAAATTACTTGGTATTACATAAAGTAAAAATGAATGCTATTAACTAATACCCAAGATATGTGTTCTATACGAATGAATACTAGGGCCGGGCATGGTGGCTCACACCTGTAATCCCAGCACTTTGGAGGGCCAAGGTGGGCGGATCACATGAGGTCAGGAGTTTGAGACCAGCCTGGCCAACATGGTGAAACCCCATCTCTACTAAAAATAAAAAAGTTAGCCAGGCATGGTGGTGTGCGCCTGCAGTCCCAGCTACCTGGGGAGGCTGAGGCAGGAGAATCACTTGAACCCAGAGGCAAAGGTTGCAGTGAGCCGAGATTGTGCCACTGCACTTCAGCCTGGGCAACAGAGCAAGACTCCATCTCAAAAAAAAAAAAAAAAAAAAAAAAAGGAATGAATACTTGAAGAGATATGCAAAATTAAAATGAATGATGTGTTTGGGTAGTGAGCTATGTGATATTTATTTATTACATTTCTTAAACATCCTATAATGTTATATAGCATTTATCATTTTAACATTTTAAAATTAGAATTTTAAGATGAAAGAAATAAGGACACACGTAGTAGCATGCTGGAATATTGCCTTTATTTTTTTTTGCTCCTGCTGTTCTGTTTTTCTTCTCTTCCATTTCCTAGAGTCAGCCAACACCACCATCTTCACTGGAAGCTTTCTCTGTAACTCATAGGAGTTTTTAAAGGTTTTTCATTCATTGTGTTCTGATAGTGAAAGTATTCCAGAGGGGCCTGCAGGCTCTGTCTAGCTGTCTCCCATCCTGGCTGCTCTTTGGTCATCCACACCACTGGCTGTAAAATGCCAGCAAGAAAATTAATGGAGCATTCGCCTACACCCTGATTCCTCTCTAAGGAAGACTGTCTCTGGGGAGCCACTAAAAGTACAGGAAAAATGTGCAGAAATCTCATGGGAATGGGAAGATGTGAAGACAGCTGGTGAATCTGGCAAACCCATGTCCCTGCAGAAACCTGTCATGCAGAGATAATGTGACCCGATTCTCTATGAATATGCATTTTATTGGACTAAAAGTGAAGAGAGCATCTCATTTTGTGAGTGCAGCTGTTTTTTAAAAAGTGTGCCAGACATACCCAGAACTTTGTATGCATGATCTCATTTAATTCTCATGATAACCCAAGAGAGAGAAAACATAATGCCCATTTTAGCAGTGAAAAGAATGGAGCCCGGAAAGAGTTAATTACTTTCCCAGTGACACACTGTGAGACACTAGTGATGCCTGAGCCTTCAACAATTCTATGCAGTCTCAGAAGACAGTGTAACTAGGGTTATGCAGAAAATCCAGCAAAACAACCAAACAAAATACTCTTCTCCTCCATATCAGGAAAGTTACAATCATGCCATTGGAGCAATAATGGAAGTGAAACAATAGTTCAGGGCCTTTATTGTAAGCTGCTGCTATTTGTCAGATACCTTTTAAGAATACAAGCTTTCCTAATCAAACTAGCAAGTGTTGGCCTCCTATTTTTCTTCTTTAAACAACTGAAATAATACTCCTGAGATGAAGTAAAGAGTATCATGTTTAAGAGCTCCTCTCTGGATTTTATTGTGTAATACCTCATCTTATAGCTAATGTGAGCAGTAAATGTCCATAATCATAAGTTTAGCCTGTAACCCAACGTCCCATGTGTATATATTTGGTTTCTTTCTATTAGCCTTTTTAAAAACATGTAGAGTTAATTTCTGGATACTCATTTTGTCTTTATATCTCATAGAGTCCAGACAGCTCACATAGGTGGGAGAGTATAGGCAATTTACATACATGATGAAATAATAAAGATTAAAAATATTCTTCATTGTCCCCCATATGCCAGTCCTGGTTCTGGATCATATTATACATTTTCTCAGTTTTTCCAACTGGCCTTCACGATAGATAGTATTATTTCCATTTGCATCTGTGAGAAGGGTAAGGTTTAGTAACTTTCACAACAAGATCATACTAGTGGTAAACTGGTAGCATCAAGAATCTTAAGCCAAGATTTAAAGTCTTTTGCAAATATATCAATATTCCTGATCTTCCCCAGAGTATGTCAAACACAATAATACAGCCCAGACCTCACTTCCCTGCTGGCTTTGATATGGTGCACAGATTCTTGATTGTAAGCAACAGAAACTGAGTAATTAAATTTATTTTAAATGATGTGAGATACCTCAAAGAATCATTAGCAAGGCTGCAGACTGAGCCATGGAAAAACAGCAGGAACAGAAACAGCTCCCAAGACCCTAGGCACAATTATGCCACAGAGCTAGTTCTGTAAAGATAACATTGCTGCTACCATCAACCACTCAATGACAGAGCTTGCATCCCTACCATGACCACTGGCATCGAACACTGTCTTTGCTTTAGGCCATTGCTACCCTGGAAACTCAAGGAGCTGTCTCTTTAACTGCAGCCTTCCACTAATATGAGCCTCTCAGTGTCTCTCATTCTTTGCTTGATATTTCCTAACTCGACGTTAGAGTGGGGTAAGGAGTGCCTTGTTGAACCAACATCACGCATCCACACTGTAGCCACAATGAGTACTGGGATATCCAAACTGACATTTTCAGCTTCTATTGTCATATATTGACTGTCACTGTCTTTCACCAAAGCTCAAAAATGCTGGTCATTACCATTCTTCCAGTCTCTGAGAAATGCCAACCATGCATTTGAGTTTTTGTTTCTTACTCTTTTGGATTAAGAACATATAGGTTTCTTTTAAAAATGCAAAGAGAATCACCTAAAGAGGACAACACACTGCTATTAACAGGCCAAATCCTCAGATTCTTCTACTTTATAAGATTATCTCAAGCAAAAATCAAAATTCTGAAGATGAAATATAAAAAAATGATAATGTTGATTCAGGTTTCAGTGTAAGAAAATAGTCCAGGAAAAGAATAATTTCTAGAGGAAGGTAAAACTGATTTTGTTGTTCAATTATCTGTTTTGCAGACCTGGGAAGTTATGGTGGAGAAAGCAACTGAAAGGAAAAAGAGACAATGTGAGTGGAAACTTTCTTAAGTGACAAATGGACATACATTCATTCAATCTTTGATTCAACAGGTATTTTTGACTGCCTATGCTGTCAGGCATAGAACTAGGTGCTGGAGATAAAAAATATGTGTAAAATTGCTCACTTTCTTCATAACGTTTGCTTTCTTCATGTGTAGGCTGCTCGGCAGCTCACAGACATTTACCTGTCAGGAGCTAATTCTCTGGAAACCAAACTCCTTTTCTTCCAAAAATACCTATCTGACATAAAATGAAACGAGATTACACTAGTTCAGTGTTTAATATTCTGAAATCATAATTTTAGCCATAAATGCTGTTTCTTTCAAGTGATTGCTGTCTGGAGATTCTCACAGCAGCCTTAAGTTGGGGAGTAGTCAGATCCTTCCCTGGCTGTCACTGGCTTGTTTAAGTGACCCCAAGCAAATGAGTTAGGCATCTCTGGGACTTGGCTTTTTTATCTTTAAAAGAGGGCTAAAAATATCAGCCACCTGTTGGGAAGATCAGGGAGCTAATATGTCTCAGAGCTTTCAAATCTCTGGCTCTAAGCCTTTTGCTATCTACGTATTAAGAACAAAGACAAGTCTTCATTGCTTTCACCCAAATGCTACATTCATTCAAAGGAGGAAAAAAATTACAATATTTGAGTTCTACAAGGCTTGAAGGTTATTTTGTATTAGTTTGAATTTCAAACTGTTTTTCTCTGTTGTACTCTTGGCACTGCCATTTTTTAAGTACAGCACTTCATTTGCATAATAATTACAAAGTTTAACAAATAGCATTAATGTCTGAAAGAAAGAGGTGCACTCCATTTAAATTACTGACAGTATTACATTACACATTTTAACTGCATTTTTTTTTAAAGAAAGCTATTCCATCCTAATGTGCTGCTGTACAGATTCCCAGAGCTCAGCATTATTTGTGCTTTAAGAAGGTAAAATCTCTTCCTGTGCTCTTTAGTGACTTCTAAAACCCTATTCATAAATACTGATTAGGCACTATTTCACCATAGGACAGAGCGCTGTTGGCACAGATCCCTACTCAAAGCCAAATTGGAAATGTTAGTATAGTAAATTAGGCCAAATGTCCTAGCTGTACTGTATATGAAAGATCATCTTTAATAAATAGATGCTAATGTAGCACTTGGATCACTTATTGCCGTAAATGTCAACCCTTGGCCTTGATTCCAGGAAGTTTGGGAAAAAAAAAAAACAAAGATATTCAAGGAATGTGTGCTATTTTAATGGAAAAAAGAATAAAGAGCAAACCTGAAATATACCATTTTTTTTGAAAGAGTGTTGAATTTGAACAGAAACTCACTGCTTAATAGTAGTGTGAGGAGAGAAAAGGAAAAAATGAAAAGACTTGTAATTTTTCCTGCTTATGCCCATGTTGTATTTGTTTTATTTTGCTTTTGTCTAGCTTTGTTACTTTGTGGATTATAAATAATGTATTTTTAACCAGTTTTCTCCTCAATTGTTTGTCCATAACTTCCTTTAAACAAACTTAGATCCACTAGAAATAAAGTATTCTTAATTCTGATTCCATACAAGCCATCCTACCACTTCTCCACTTACATGCTTTTATATCCGGGCAAAACACACAAACACAGACACACACAGCTCATGGGCAAACAACGTACAAAAATTCTATTAGAAAATTATATTAATTTGTAATTATTGTTTTATCCCTATATTTGGCCTAAGATAAGACAGCCTACTTCTAATTATAAAATATATCTTTAGCAAGCATACAGGCATTTCAAAGAAAGAGACTATGCACATATGCACATATTATTTACCTCATATAAATAATGTCTAAGAAATTTGATGTGGCTTGGTAGCTTGTCCAAGCATTCTAACTTACCTATGTTAACCACCTACGACTGGTTCAGTTATTTGACCTGAAAAGGTAAAGTGTAGTAACTAAAAGTACTTACATTTTCCTGATTTCCAGCCAAACACCAACCACTTGTTAGACCTTACAAGTCACTTAAACTTCCCAAGACTCAAGGTCTTCTGTACGCTGGTAATGAGAACACCTGTCTCATAGCTGCACTGTGAAAGTGATGAACATGAAAGACTCAGTAAAATGCCATTGGCATGTAAATGGATCCTAAGAAACAGGCAATATTGCCATCATTATTTCTAAACTGAATTATTCTGAGTCTTACTCATTAATAAATTGTTATTTTATTTCAAGCTTTAGTCTGAAACATTAAACTCCTTATTGATAAGTAATCACTATTGCAATGAAAAATTATGACTTGTTACTGGTATACTCTTAGTCTTAAATTTTCCCCACATATGATAGATGTTTCTGGTTTATTTTTGTTTTTATATTACATTTATTTCAAACTTTATCTTCTACAACTTTAAAAATGATTTAGTAGTACTTATCATTGTGAATGTCATGGTATTTTCATTCAAAGTAAAATAATTTGTGTTATAATTTTATTCATAAGGTACAAATTATGTGATTTATCATGGGAAGATATCTATAATAGAGATCTAAAGGATTATGCTACAGAAGCTTCTCTACTGTATCAATAATACCTTAGATAAATTCTGAGAAGAGCTTGATATAACCTTGATCAATAACGATGGTGATAGCTGAAGTTTTTAAATTCTTTTATTCTCCCTACTCTGTGTCAGGACCCATTTTATGTCCTCCAAAAGACATATTTCTAACCTTTACCACAGCCATTCAGTAGAATATCTATATTCCTACTTTAATATAAGAACTCCTGAAGGTGAAATAACTCGTGAGGACACGTAACTACAGGAGTCATCACCTGGATTTAAACCTAGGCTTTTTTTGTCTCAAACATCTATGTCTTTTATTTTATCATTCTGTATTCTAATATTGAATTATAGAGATGCTTTGCTTAGTAATATTGATTGTTCAAGTATAATATTCCCCCACATAGTTATTTTTTGATAGGTAAATTAGGGGTTATTTCTATATGCATGAAAGGAAAAATAACTTTGTTTTATGTCCTTTGTATGTGATATGGATATTTATGGTATCATTTTACTTGACTGCAGCAGTTATTTTTAATTGTAGATATTACTAAAAAAAGGATTAATCATTTCGTAATTCAATTCCAAGAAAAGATAGCACCATATGGATTCTCTAGGTAAATTGAGGTAAGAGATCCTAAGGAAGTTTGCATAACGTAGGGTTAAGTGGAGTCTGATACTATTTTGAGATGTGGATTCAGGACAGATAAGGCAGCAGCAACCATGTAACCATGTAAACATGGAACATGTGAAACATATTATAGGTCCTGGGGGGAAGCCACAGGTAGAATGTTCCTAAGTTTATGTAAGAATAGCTTAAAAACAAGCAAGTCAGCTATAGCAGGTACTGGAATCTTCAAGATGATGAGGCCTTGACAAGCATGAAATAGGTTCTATATGAAAAAGATTTGATGTTGCAAAATAACCCAACGATGGGCATTGTAGGAGCTTCACAGTGGCTTAAATGTGGAGAGTCACTGAAAACTGGGTATACTGTTTAGAATTCATGTTAAGACTTTAGGGAGGACAGAAATTTCAAATGGGTTTCATTATTTAGTTTTCTACAAAGAAAAAAGATAAAATTATAAATATACATTTTATAGGTTAAACATTAATTTGAAGATGTGATGTGGTGTGCTCTGTATGAAAGTAATCAGAAAGAGTAACAAAATATTAAAATAACCTATAATGGTTTCAAAAGAATATTAAAATAAATGGACATATAAGAAAATTAGAGATAATTTTGAAAGATGCTGTTATATAATATCAGTATTATTTGTTTGAGAAATTTCCACAAAGCCCTTAAATATTTACAAGTTGAGAGCAAGCAGTATTCAATGAGCATTCATCCAACAAATAGAACTGAATTCCCCTATATGCTTAGTGAGCACTCCTGATTGCTTAATTAATGTTGATTGTTCCGACATTTATCATTGTTCTTTTCTTTCCAAAACACCAATTTTTCAGATGTTTATGCCATGTCCATCTGTAGAAAATATGCTGATCAAACAGCTTATGGCATTCCCTTTGGTCCAGGGCTCACACTGCAATTTAAGTTTACCAATTAGAGTGAAGGGATAGGTTGATTTTCTTTGCTGGGTGAGGAGAGTATTATTTTCTCTCTGAATGTTCTTTTCTTCATCTACGAGCATATCTAGCTCTCTCTCCTAGAGGAGAGGGACGAGGAATCTTAGTAATCTGAATGTTACTGGCAGTTGTGTTGCAACTACCAGATGAGTCAGCTTCAGTATAAAGCTGTGCCAAACATAAGCATAATATATATATACAGAGAGATGGAAAAATGCTGGATCTTAGATGACACCACTTAGTCCACTTATTTGCAGAGCATCACACGTCTGGAATCTATCTTACCTTTTATTAGTTAAGCCAATTTGTAGCTGTGTTTTCTGTCATTTGTAGCTAAATGGATCCTAAATGCCCATGACTTTTGCTGTGTATTGCAGATATTCAGAAAAAAAAGACAAAATGTCTGCTCCCAAGGAGCTTATACTATAAGGGAACAAATAGATATATACATTATTACACATAGATAAAATTGATATATTTTATTATATACACATATAAAAATCACATAAAGATATATACATCATCAGAAAAACAATAAGATAAATGTTAATGAAGATGTTTTCCACCCTCATACAACCAACACTCACCTATCACATTGTTCCTACTGCAGGCAGAACATGAAAGAAGCCACTATTCAGGAGAATTTCAGAGCATAGCTTGCCCAGTATCAGATATGAAATGCACATTCAATGGCTTTCAGAAGCAGAAGTGGCAATGAGCACAAAAACATTACCCTCAATGAACATGAGGGTACTCAGCATCTGCATAGGAGATCATTACACAGAAAGATAAATTAATTCTCATAGATCTCTATTGAGAAAAATAATAAGTATTTTGTTAGAAATTGTATATGATTTTAAATTTCACTTATCATCTGATAATCTGGTTTTGCTAAAATATATAATGAATACATACCAAGTGCTATGGAAGCACTGTGTTTATGAATTTTTGTTGAAGTGGGACATAGTTATGAGTAGTCTTCATAGAGTTATCATTCAATATTCAAGGCAAGAATTCATCATAAATATGGGAAAGTTAGTCAATAGTAATGAATGTTTATTGAGCACTTACTATGTGGCACACATTTTTCTAGAAGCAGCAGCACTGAACAAAAGAAACAAAATTTGTTTTTATAATGAGGCTTATATTTGGAAGGGTTGAAAGAGTTAGATCATGAACAACATACATTACATGGGATGATAAAGTGATATGTGCTGGAAATAATGAAGTGAAATAAGGAGTAGTTGAGTTGGTTAAGGGAAAGGAGATCATAATTTCAGATAAGGTAGCCAGGGAAAACCTTGCTTAACAGGTGATATGACAGCAAACATATCTAAGAAAAAGTGCTCCAGATGAAAGAACGAGCAGTACAAAGACCCTGAAGTTGGAGAATATCTTGCATGTTCAAAGAACAGAAAGATAGCAAAGAGCCCCTGGAACAGAGTAGGCAAACAAGCTGAAGAAGATATAATGGAGTCCTAAATTAGGGAAGGCTTCAGGTGAGGGCCTTTGCAAGTACTTTTACTTTTACTCTAAGTGAGATGGGAGGACACTGGACATTTTGAATTCAAGAGTGACAGAATCTAAGTTAAGTTTCAACAGGATTATCTTGCTGCAGGGTTAAGAAAAAGGTGGGAATAAAGAAACAGCATAGTATGTTTAGGAAGCAAACGGTGGCCAAGGAAAGTGTATGAGTGTGCTGTAGTGAGAGCGAGATTAGAAAAGGAAATAGGAACTATGTTACGATGGACCTTTATCTCTTTGATAATAATTCTGGACTTTTTTGCAGATGATAGATGTTAAACCTAAGAGTAGCATGATCACATTTATATTTCAGAAATCACAGGCTATGGCAGCATTTCTCTCCCCAGGAGAGAAATAAGAGTGAAGCAGAGAAAATAGTTAAGGGGCTCTGATTTTTACAACTTTGTTTAGCTACCAATAAAAAAGATTAAATATAAACAGTAATTTAAACAAAAATAAGTTTAAACATTTTTAATCTAGGGTTATCAAAGTGGTTCCTCAACCAACAAAAACTTAGGACTTTTTCTGTATCATTAGATTATCATCCTCAACACTTGTCATTTATGTTATGATCCAAGATTGCTGTTCCATTTCCATCCATCATATCTGTATTCTAGTCAGTAGAAAGAAAGAATGAGAAAAGTGTGTCACCTCCCCTTTAAGGACATGTCCCAAAATTTGCTTACACTATTTCTAATTATATCTTTTTTTTGTCAAGAATTTGGCTTCAAGAATTTGGCTTCATCTAGCTGTCAGCGAAGCTAGAAAATGAACATTTTATTTTGTGTAGCTACATACCCAGCTAAAATTCAGTTTCTATTGCTGAGGGAGAAAGAAAAAAATGATATTGGGGACAACTATATGATTCTCGCTCAGAGACTAGTCCAGGTGAGGTTTGCTGTATTCCTGATCTCAATTGCTGTTTCTGCAGGTAGAGGATAGCATGTAAATTTAAGCAAGGTTTACAAAGGAAATCAGCCAGATTTGGTGAATAATTAGATCTAAAGGATGATTAAAAAACACATCTAATTTGAGATTTTGACTGAAACTGATTTTATGACAAGGTCATTAAGCGAGACAATGTCTTAGTCTGTTAGGGCTGCTATAACAAACTACCATAGACTGGGTGACTCATAAACGAAAGAAATTTGTCTTTCACAGTTCTAAAGGCTGGAAAGAGCAACATCATGATGCCAGGTGATTTGATGTCTGATTAGAGCTAGCTTCCTTACTGATGGCCATCTTCTAGGGCGTAATGTGGACAAGGATGTTAGGTTGCATTTACAAAGACACTAATCCCATTCTTTAGGGCCCCACTTTCGTGACCTAACCACCTCTCAAAGATCCACTTCCTAACGACATTACCTTAATGGTTAGTATTTTAACATATAAATTTTTGGGAGGAACACAAATATTCAATCCGTAGCATGTGGGGATTCCTGGAGAAGAAATAGATACGTATAAAATGTTTGATTTTGTACAGATTGTATTTGAAATGCTTCATGATGGTTATCTGGAAGAAATTCTTATTTTTTTTTTTTTTTTTTTTTTTTTGAGACGGAGTCTTGCTCTGTCGCCCAGGCTGGAGTGCCGTGGCCGGATCTCAGCTCACTGCAAGCTCCGCCTCCCAGGTTCACGCCATTCTCCCGCCTCAGCCTCCCGAGTAGCTGGGACTACAGGCGCCCGCCACTTCGCCCGGCTAGTTTTTTGTATTTTTTAGTGGAGACGGGGTTTCACCGTGTTAGCCAGGATGGTCTCGATCTCCTGACCTCGTGATCCACCCGTCTCGGCCTCCCAAAGTGCTGGGATTACAGGCTTGAGCCACCGCGCCTGGCCGAGAAATTCTTATTTTTACATTATATTTATTTCTTAAAAGAGTAATGTAAACCACAGAACATACATTTCTTAGAGTGTAATAGTACTATCAGAGTGGTTGAACTCATTTGGTTTTCAGTCCTAGAAATTGCTCTAGGAAATATATTTCTGTTTACTTAGGAGCTACCTGTTATTTTATTCTTGACCCTTCTGGCATTTGCTAGCATACAAGCATAGGTTACGAACTCACTCAAAACAATTTAATTTTGTTTTAGAGAGAATAATGCTAATAAAATGTCTTAAAGTCTGACCTCTATTCTTTTGTATCTCCTGTGGCAATTATCTAGTCAGGAAGACCCACCTGTAGAAATAAGAGACTTCCTGAAACCAATACAACATCAAAAGCAAACAGTGTGTAACAGCATTTTTGCCATTTCTCCCCATCAACAGGGATGCTTGAACCATAAATGCCAATTAGTATTGCAGAGGTTAGGGTATCACCTTTGTAAGTAGAAGCCAGAAGAATACAAAGAGTTGTTTGCTCTGCTTTCTACCTGTCTTTTAGCCTTCCCTGGTTCTATCTTTCTATAGGCCTAATCCTGAAAACCTGGAAGACTCCAAGAAAAAAACTCTGAAAAAAAAAAAAAAAGAAAAAATAGCAATTGATTATGTGAAGTGAAATAAGCCAGGCACAGAGAGACAAATACCACGTACCCTCACTTACATGTGGAATACAAAACTGTTGAACTCACAGGTTACCATTTGGATGTGATCCAATTCAAGGTGATTAAAAATGAGAGGACCACTTACCAAGTTGAGATGAGTAATGAGACCAATTAAGTCTCATTAGGTCTCCTCACTTGAGAATGCAATACTACAACTAGTACAACTACTATAACTGAAAATTGTTGTTGCTATTAATGTTGTTATCAGATTTCATAGAAAATTATTCTGGAGCAAATGCCCTTTGGCTTACAAATTTAGGGCTGGAAAACCATCAGTGGGTAAACAGATGACAAGTTGCTTTGAAAGAATGATTTCTCACACAATTAACTCATTTAATCCTTATAATTAAATTGAGAAAGAAAATATTCACATTTTTCCAGATGAAGAACCTGAGGCTTATAGATTTTCAATGACTGTGCCAAGTTGACAGAGCTAGAGTATGAAAGAGTAAGAATTTGAACCAAGGAATATCTGATTTCAAAGCTTTTGATAGTATTCCACTATACCATGCTTTTCATACAGATCTCACATTCATTGAACAGAGTATACTTTATATTACACATTATTTCAATTTTCAAAGTGCTTAATATGCAATGAGAATATTTATTGTACATTTATGCAAATTATTATATTCTACTGTCACAGCAGAATTCACTAGTCATAGGTCCCTTTTCTGTAACACAAGACTATTGTGCACTTTGCTAAGTTTGGTTTGATAAATGTATGGCTTGTTTATTTATTCAAATTGTCATTGAGTACCTACTAGAATACTGTCAGATAACGAGGGCATAAACATGAATGAGCTATAATGCCTCCCATCAAGGAATCCTAGCAAAATGGGAGAAACAAGCAAACAGACCAAACATATAATGAAAATGTCTGAACGTAGAAATGATGTAGATAAAGAGTTGTAGGAGAACGAAGGATAAAAGAACCAGGTTGAATTTAAGAAAGATTTCATAAGGAACACAACGTTTGGGCTGAGTTTTAAAAGGAGCTCATTTAAGGATGAGATTTGAAAGTGGAGAAAAGGGAGTCAAACTTTCTTGGCAGAGGAAACACATGTAAACAAACATAATGGTTTGAAACACCAGCTCTGAAGTTGAATTCTTTGGGTTCAAAGGGTGTTTGTGCCTTTTTCTAGATTAGATGAAATACCTTAAGAAGGCTACATACCTTCCATAAGCCTTAGCTTTCTTATCTTTAAGAAAAATGAAGGTTTCTACTATATGGGGTTATTATAAAATACTATAAATTAAATAATTCATGTAAAAAATTATCAGAATACCTAACATGCAAGGAACACTCATTAAATATTCGTTAATACTACCTTTTTATTCAGTATGGCTATGCTTCCATTATTTAATAAACTCATTATCTAGTATGGTAAATGGAATATTCTGGTTAATTATATACTCTAGTCAATAGTTATATTTTATTTGTGAAATTGTAATTATCTGAAAATTAGAATACTGAAGATGACTTCAGGGAAGATTGAATAGATGTACTTTTCCCTATTTCTCCTTGCAAGTACAACTAAAAACCATGAAAGTTACATGAAACAAAAGTAAGAATACTAAAACATAGAGCAAAAAAGCCATACCAGCTAGGGACTTCGGAATTCAAGAAACCTCATGATATAGTTTGAATGTTTGTCCTCTCCAAATCTTATGTTAAAATGTAATCCCCAG